CCCCCCGGACCCCCCTGGAGGAGGTGAGGTCCCCCCCTGGAGGAGGTGAGGTCCCTCCCTAGAGGAGGTTAGGACCCCCTCCTAGAGAATGTTAGGTCCCCCCCCCACTTAAATAATGTCCACATGGATTGGAAACTAAATACATTTGCACACATCTTGTGTCCATATCTTTCTGTTTTGGTGGTCATGCCACACCGTGCATGTGCATACGCGAGTCATGGTAAGATATCTGGATTCAGAAGTTGCTTTTTCTTTGCACAGCATGAAAGAAAGGCGAAATGAATGGGCTGAGATTTTAGTTTTTTTAAGCAGTGGTCAATAATTTGTACGGCCCTCTTAGGATGTTGAAAAAAATGAAATGGCCCTTGAGAGGAAAAAGGTTCCCCACCCCTGCTCTATGGTATTGTGAAAAAAAAAATAATATCACACGTGCATGAATTGACATTAAAAGACACATTAGGAAAGACAACTATAGGTCTCAAACATCAGATCAAAAAGTGTGAGATCCTGTTCTGGTTGAGCTTCTTAGTTTGAGACCCATCGCTTCTGGATTCTGGGTCATTTTTGCATTAAAGAACCTGTACTTTACTAATGAATGCAAAGACATACTGAATGTTCTCTAACTGCCTTGTGATGGTGTGTTTGTGTGTATAACAACTAAGGTTAGGATGTTAAGCAGCTTAGGAAAGACAAATGGATTAAGTATTTTGTTGACACGTAGTAAAGTAATCTGGTTAGCAAAGACGAGCTACTCTCTTCCTCTCTCTCCGCCTGTCTGCCTCCCCCTCCCCGTTCTCTCTTTCCATCACACAGTCTTCCTCACCATGCCGGTTCATCAATTCTACGTTGCTCTTTTCACACACCGTGAACACACTCCAGGACAGAGTACACGTTTAGACTGAAGAGATTGGGCAGGGGAGGTCACCTAAGATATATGTACATATTGAATCTCTGAGCAAAGTTACATATATCCAAGGTTCAATCATGTTGTCATTTTATATATGCAGTTCCCATCTGCTGGATGTTGTACCAGCAGCAATTGTATAATTGTATGTGTAACACATATTTTACACAAGAACTCAAGTCATTCTTATGAGGCAGACACAGCAGTTTCAGTTAGTTTACGACAGAAATGTAAATGTATCTTCCTTTTCTGTCCCTGTCGTTGACATCACCAATATCAAGTAACTGTGCGAGCAGCAGCTGGGCACCCGAGGGTTCAACACCACAAAAGTGTTTACATCTGCCTGTGTGTGAGTGTGTGTTTCTGTGTCAACTGGGGAGCCAGCCAGACGTCTCTGTTCTAATATTTCCTCTCAGGAGAACAAACAATGCAGAGAGGCTTCTCTCGTTCTCTGCTCTGCCTTTATTCTCCCCTCTCGGCCTCTCTTTTCAATTACTATCTCCTCACCCCTTTTCCTCTTCTCCTCCCTGGTGTTTTCCTCTCTTCTCCCATTCTTCTTGCCCTACCTGTTATCTGTTGTATATGTTGCTTCCTCTTACAACAAAGCCACAGAAGTTGGTTTAAGTTACTGTACTAACACCAACACGTGCACACACACTCTGTGACCCAGGCTCAGTATCAAGGGATGTATCCTCTGCTTTACAGTACAATGAGTTGACTATCAACCCCACTGAGAAAGAGAAGAGCACAGAGAAAAGGTGAAGGTGAGTACCCCCCCCCATACGATTACGCAAATATATAGGCTTCAGTCTGTATGGCTGTTTGATGAGGATACTCACCACTACTCCAGCCTTAATAAACTTACAATGCATTATAGGGCTGTCCCGAATACCATTTTTCGGGCTCCGGATATTCGGTAGTAATCAGCAGCGAATATTTGGATCTTCTGTGCATGCGGGGGGGGGACCTTCATTTTTCAGAAGGTTCGGTTTGCGTTCACACAGGCAACATTCAAACGGACTATACACTTTAAACACAACTCATGTGCACGGAAATGCTGTTCAACAATTGGTCAGACATTAAGGGGGAGTGTAAAAAGGAAAATCCCGGCAATTTCTACCGTAGCCTCCGCAATGGGGCATCGGCGGGTTATTCTCATGCTGCTGTTAATCTGGACAGCATATCAACAGACTCTGCAACGGCGCATATGATTATACAAACAGACAATGTGCGATAAAAAAACATAACCCATATGAGAGACGTTCTGCAGTAAGGAGGGGCGTTTCACCGACGACAGGTGGCTCTGACTTTTATGCATAGTTGACGGAGCATTTTTACTTTACGCGACACTGTTCAACACTTCATTCTGCTTCACTCTTTCGCTAAAGATTTCGAAGACATCCGGGTTCTTGTGACTCGTAAATACTACGCTTCCTATGTTTTGGTGCGTACTGCGTTCACACCAGCGATGAACCGCTCCAGAGTTCACTAGCAAGCGGTCCGAGACCACCTCTTTTAAGCGGACCAGAGTCCGGTTGTTTAGTTAACTTAAGAGGTCTCGGACTGTGTTCACACCGACCCAAACGAACCTTCAATGAAACGCACCAAGCGGCTAAAAGCACCAGGGTTCGATTCAACCGGACTATACAAGGCTGGTGTGAATGCGACCTAAGTCTTTAACGTTTAAAAAAAACAAAAATGAATAACGAAATTGAAAACCGAATAGTAGGCCAAAGACAGAATATTCGGATATTCGGGTAGGCCTACAGCCCTGCATTCACACAATCAGGACTCCAATGCTGTTTTGCTGATAAAAGCTACTTTTAACATAACATATACACCCAACTGTTTTTGTTCTACTGCATGATTTGGTGTGTCCTTTTCCCCCCAGCAAACCATTAAAGGAAAACATGTATTCATTTAATGAGATGTCAATGTTTAACAGATAAAGCCACTAACAATGGCCCCTCCCTCCTAGATAGTTCCTTGCCCCCCCCCCCTCCACCAGGTGAAGCAGCGATGGAGGCTGACACACTATACCCCAGCGGAATGAATTTATTTTATAATATTTACTTCCAAAACACAGGGAATATTTTTAAGTAATACTATATCATGATCATAACAATTTCAAGGTCATAAATAATATTATGTTTTGAAGGCTGCTTTTCATTTTCTGATAGGTTGAATTGGATTTCCAAAACATGGCATATGTCCAATTCAATACAAAAGAAGCTGACCATTAGTGTACATGGTACTACCAAAACTCAAATGTACACGTACATATTGTTCTTGTGATCACTAGGAAGCAGGTCTCTGCCTCTTTCTTAGTCATCTCTCTTTAGCCAGCTTGTTATATTTACTTGTTTTAGAGAAACATTTTCTACACAAGTTATATCAATTAAATAAAACGTTCTAAGGGCTTGTGTTTGCCCAATCAGTGACATTACAACCTTCAGTCTTCACTCCGATAGATGTGGGCCATCACAGAACACTTTCTTAAGAAAAATAAATGTTTGGAGATTATAAACTAGAGTAAAACAATGGAATGAAACCTGCAACCAGGTTCTTGCAATTGAAGGCTCCTGGAAATGTTTCATTGGAAAGAGACCTATACATAAACTTTGATGAGGATGTTTTTATTCTGACTGATGATGCTCATGCAGAGGGTCTCCTGAGGTTTATCGATGGCTTCAAATGGTAGAGCAATAGCTTCAGTGTTGTATTATCTTTCATGAAATGCATGCGTTTAATAACCATCTTCACAAGGTTTTCTATCCATGATTCCCTATCTCTTTGAGAAAACACACACACACACACACACACACACACACACACACACACACACACACACACACACACACACACACACACACACACACACACACAGCTGCGTTTTAAATTACACAATTAGCCTTTGAAAACTTGACGACTACTCACTTTTAGAGTTTGGAAGTGTATCCTCTGGAGCACTGACATCCACGGCGTAATGCCATTTAATAAAAACATTATCAAACTTAATATAGAAAATATAATGACTCAGCACATTATCTCACTGTTAATTACAACATCACATCTCTTAATGAAAACCCACCGTGTGTGCGTATTTACGGCTTAATGAAAATACTGTAGATTTGTGTGTCACACAATCAAAAACAAGTCCTTTATTAAATATTAAATTCACACCTGTTAAGGACAAGTACCTTGAGGATACACACGCACACACATACACACGTGCTGACAAATAACTAATTTACAAAGATATTTGCACACACACATGTCTGTGCTTACATGCATGCCAGTGAGTAGTAACCCTGAAATTCACACAGGTAAAAAACAAAACAAATGACTACTCAGCTAAATTGTCATCATTAATTAAATTAATTAGCAGGACATTCTTTATGTCCCCCCGGCCCCCCAACTTCTGCCCCAGCCTCCAGCTCCAATTCCCAGCAGCAGAATGGACACGGAGCGGGCGGGGGGAGGGTGGAAAATATACATGGGACACTTCCACATTGTTCTCCACCTTGTTGTTATAACATTATTATTATAAGTAGAAAATGACACACCATTTATAACACACAACATACATCACACAACAACAGCACTTCTAAAAAGGAGAGGTTTGAACATGGAGAAATTGGTGTTTGAGGAGAGAGCCCTGCTGAACAATAAAATATATTTCATCTGCTGCAGGGCTAAATCTCCAATGCATATCCCTAAATAACCTATTTTCTTATAAGCCTTAGTGACATGGCTTTTCGATGTTGTTTTTGTTGGACCCACCAGCCTAGCGAACTACATTATACCATCCAAAGTAAAACATCCTGTCATTGAACATTTTTATAAAAATACTTCTCTTACAAAGCTCTTTCCAACCTTACCTGACAAAGCGTTTTACAATTTGCCTCTGAATCACTAATCAAGGTTCACCAGTTCGCACACACACACATGCACGCACGCAGGAGTCACAGCACCAAGACAGGCTGTGTTCAGTGAGAATGCTATGGCATGAACAGGTACGTATACAACATGTGTAGAGAGAGCGTTGGAGCACAGAGAGGGAGAGAGCCCATCAGAGAGGAAGTGAGCGGCCTACCGGTGTCGCTGTCGGACTTGTTCTCGTGCTCCGTGTCGGTCAGAGTCAGCACGGAGTTGGAGCGGCTGGACAGACAGGAACTCCTCCCGGATGACTTCCCCAGACCCCCGCGGCCCCACAGACGCATGGCGCGCTCCGGGGACATAACAGTCTGGCTGTCGGTGTCCAGGTCCTGGGCCGTACCAACGGAGAAGCCACGGTGGGGGAGGCCCATCTCGGAGCAGAGGGCCAGGCCGCGGCGCGACGGGGGCTCGCAGATCCCCAGCTGACGGAGGCTGAAGTGCTGACCTGAAACAGAGAGATTTTACTACGGTATTCAAATGTTAATATGTATATAACATATTATACGCAGACTGTCTGCTATTTAAATGTACATAGTTATATTTAAATTATTGCTATTTTGAAAAGAGGCCTGTGAAAACTTCCCAAAGGTGAATAAAAAAAAAAGATCTCTTTGACGCCCCCTATAATAATAAAATAATAATTTGCACATGAAATCACCCTCAGATTTAAGTTTCTGAAAACATCACATTGTCTAAGCTGAAGAACATTTGTTTTCATTGATTGTACGTGGTTTAAATGAAATGAACCTTATCGTGTTTTCAGGTTCTTGTCTTTTACTTTCTATTACTGCTATTTTTCTCAGACCAGCTATCAGCAAACTAAAGATATTCGGATAAATTACTTGGATTAATTAATCATTAAAATTGCTCTCATTTAACACTGTTGATATAATAATTGATTAATCGTCGTGATCACATCTCTTGGGTCAAGTTGTTGTATTTGTTAATTTAGGCCTTGTAACTAATTCAACAGCAAGTACAATGGTATGTCTTGCTTGAAGTGATTACATCTGAATATAGAGAAGTGAATATAGCCTTCCTTGTTGTTCGGAGTTTGAATCTTTATGGTTTTTGCACTTATTGTAAGTTGTTTTGGATAAAGCGCCAGCCAAATGAAATGTAATGTGAGAGGCAGACCTCAAGTGACCTCAAGACCTCGAGTGCAGGACTCTGGTGGGGTGAAAGGGTCAAACAAAGTCAAAGATAATGCACAATGTTTCCCTGATGCTGATGTTAATGTTAAACATATTAAGGCAATACTTTCTATCAGGTAATACACCATTGTTTTTGTTGGAGCAGCTTACATTCCTGCTGCTAATTCAAAATGAACTACAGGAACGCACCTAAATCTCAGTTAGATTTATTTTCTTTAGGTAGCATAATGCATAAGGCCAAAGCGGCCTTTTTGTATTGTGCATGATGATAATAATTGTATATTAAGTGTATCCTTTAAGATGATTGACTTTATAATATGGCGAAACCAACACTACGTAACAAAGAAGTCAGGGTGTTAGTTTTGAAAAGAAAAACACCCTGACTTACAATCACTCTGTCTCAGAGAACACAACCCTTCAACCTGCTCATAAGACTGAAAAGAACGCAGCAGTGCTTTCAGGCAGGACACCATTATCATGTTTTTTAAATCCAAAAAATACATTTCAAAAGACGCTACTTGTAAAACAGGAGCCGATAGCCAAAGCAGACGGTGAATACTTTCCGAATAGATCCACTAAATCTCATTTAGTCATTACAGGACAAGAGACAGACAATGAGAGGATTCAGCCTGGAGAAACTCTGAACTGTGAAGGGAGTGAAAATCACTTGAGAATTTACATTTTTTATATATTTGATAATTTGTACAAAATACAGGTACGTTATTTTTGCCCAGATCTAAATAATGTAAAAATAATAACATATTAAAATGAATAAATGTTACTGTGTAACAGAAAATAAAAGACAATTACATAACATATATCTTGTATATTTCAAAAGTTCAGCATTTCTGTACTCACAGACAACTAGAAACTATTGTAACACTTTGACTCCAATATTCATATAGTGTCCTGAGTTAATGGTGATCCCTTTAATGACATGATATACACTCAAGACACAATATGCTTATCATGGAACAAGCTTTTATAAGACATAACAGAAAACCTGAAAAATAACAAAATTATTAATGGCTGTATAAATAAATATTACGTTTCTTTACACAAATGTTATAAGTCATCAGGACTAAGTCTTACATATCAAATGGAAATGGTATAACATCAAATAACATCAAATAGGCTGTGTTAATCTTTTAAAATATAATACAATACATCAAATAAATGATCTGTAAAATCTCAGTGTGTGCCTCTTCATCTATAATCAGCAAATTAAAAGGGAAATTATAAAAGCTATCTGTAATTAATGGCACAACAAGAGATGAAGAGTGCTGCCGTTCAATTAAAAGTTATATTAATTTTAAACGAGTTCCAATTACACCAGCAGTGAAAATGAAGGAGATAAGATGATTGAGTAATTAAGATTTTTTCATTTCCAAATATTGACGTTGCGTTAATTGGAGCTGGAGAACAATGAATGTGCTCTGTGGTTAAGCATTTTTCCTTTTAACGTCATATGTCTTTTCCTACATTTTCTTTCTTTCTTACACACAACTTGAGACCTGGGGCCTCATGTATAACGCCGTGTGTAGGATTCACGTGGGAAGGTTGCTTACGTAATAGAAATCCGAAAAATAGGTCCATACATTTTCCGACATTTTCCGATTCACCGAACATTGCGTACCGGCGAGGAAAGTGCATACGGCACTTCCTACGCCGGTTTCCCTTTATAAATCACAATCGACTCGAAATGCGGTGCAGCTTTTGCGGGCTTCACGTAACGCCCATATTTGCCTATAAATAGTCAAAGAAACGCCCTTTCATTCATTCATTTTGACTGACTTTGAATGAAGAAGATCGCAGGAAATGACGACAGAACAGCTAAAAAAGACATCTCACACTGTGTCAGATTTTGGTTATTTTGGGGAGGTCGAGATAAATCATATTGTTTGGTGGATGCAGTTTGAACCAGAGTAGCAGCATGGAGGTCGGATCGTCACCAAAATAAATAAATAAGTGGTCCGAAAAAGGTTAATGACAAAAAAATACACATAGCCTTCCTCAGGCAGTATGTTTGTACCGGGGACAGGAGACCCCCCCTTGATGAGAAACTGAAGAAATGATCGGGGAATCCCTCCGGAGTGGAGTCATGACGACTGGATCTGAATTATTTTTTTGTATTTGGTGGTTTGTGTTCCAGCTGTCGATCAGCAACTATATACGATCCACCAGTTAAAGGAAATACAACTAATGTGTTGTGTTATATTAGCTGTAAAATTTACCACATATGGTGTTCTTAGTTTCCATACCTCCTGTGTTTTACGAGCGACTTATCAAGTCTTGGCAAACGGCATAAAACACGATTAAACGT